AGCGAAGCTCCGGCGACGGGTCAGTGGTGTCTCCGTGTCCAAAGCTGCATGACGTGGACTTCAGAGCTCACTAGCTACTGGCGTGAGCCCCGATTCTGACGTCACTTGTAGAGCCGTGGGTGGTTGTCAGGCGTGTCACGTTCTGACTGTAAGTGACTCTGCAAACATTGCATTGTAACTATGTGCGCACACTCACATACATATACGTACATATTCTGACAATTATTTGGGGGTAAACTCAGTGGGACTGTTTCTCTCGCAGGTCCCTCCTGGACCTCATCAGTAAAGCGTATTCTGTTGTACTTTTTGTTGCTGCAAACAGCCTTTGTTTTGGAAGTCGCATTGTGAAGTTATTTTTCCTTGAGGGTTCCATTGTCCTGTGCGCTCTGAAAGTGAGATATCAAGTTCGTTCTCGCGGAAGCACCGGAGTGGTAAAGACTTAAGCATGTGAGCTGGGAATCGCATAAATCCATGTTGTATTTTCGTCCTGCGCCTGCTAGCTTTTGGGATTCTGTGCAAATGACACACTTCTTTGAGCCTCTGTTTTTTCTTCTGTGTGGATGAGAAAGTCGGTGATGTGTATACAGCAGTTCGCACAACCCCGGACATAGAGAAACACTCAGTAATTTATAGCTATTATTACATTATCGTTGGAAAGATGGGAAACCACTCAGTCACACAGCATCGTGTCCCGACTGTTAATATCCTACTCTAAAAGGAGGGTGCCCAGCATCCATTCCTCATTCTTCTGGCAGTTTCCTTTGGTTTTTCCTTGTGGTTTCCAGGCGATGAGAGAGAGGCTGCCCTCATCTCTGCTGGGACGTAGACGTATGACCTGCCTTGGTCAGAGGGCTAATGAAACATGGGCGTGTGACCCCTTTTCAGCGAATGAGACTTAATTCTGGACGTTTTCTTAGAAAGACAAGCTGAGAGTATGTCAGCCTAGAGCTGCTGGCAGAGATGTTTGTGGAAGAACATGCTCACCCAGGGACTTTTCATTTGTGTGTGTCAGTAAACATTTGTTGTTGCTCTTTGCTTTATCCATTTTGAGATGAGTTCCTGTCACTTGAAACTGAATGAATCCTGACCAGTATAACTAATTATTTCATGTTTGCTGTCAGGACACAGTCTATCAGATGATTAACGTCTGAATATTATTATTTCTTTTGGTAGCTCTTTGGTAGAATAGCACATACGTGTCCCGACTTCCCCTCCTGCCTCCCTCCTTTCCTCCCTCCTTTCCTTTATCCTTTTGTTGTTGGTTTTTTCAAAGATTTTACTGGGGAATTAGGGGAGGGAATAGCATTGGGGAATCGGGGAAGGGGAACAGACAAGTTGCTGTCCTTTTGTTCTTCAGTCTAGTTGTGGAGGATGTTGCTTTACTGGCCCATGTTGGTATTATGATTGCGCTCTTCCTGGGTGAGGCAGATCAGTCACCAGCCTCTGGATGGCCGCTCATGGTGGCTCATGAAGCCTCACACCCACTGCTGGCCACTCATGGCAGCCCAGCTCCAGGTTGAGCTGTTGTTCACCATCTCAGCTGTAGAGGGCAGTGTCACTGGCCCTCATGTGGGATCCGAACCCAGGCCCTGCTGCTCAGAGCTGGTGTCCCAAGCCAACTCTTAACCAATGAGCCACTTGGCCCACCCTATTGTTTTATTTTTTATCCTAGGGATTCAAATTCAAAGTAATCCTATGTCAAGACGTAAACCTTTCATAAAAATCAAACATTTATTTTGTGAGCTGAGATAATGATTTTGATAAGTTGTTGATAAAGGCTTTTTCAAGGACCAAAATCAGAGTGCTGAATATGGGGGAATGTCGTTCTCTGCAGGAAAACATGGTCCTAAGAGAGAAAATGACCTGCCCCAGGTCACATCATTAGTTACCAAAAAGAGCGAGGATGTGACTTCCTCTCTGTGCACTGATGTGTGGCGGGCCACCCTGTCTGTGCCACACAAGTCCAGACAGGTGAGATTTCCTGGATAAAAGCAGGAAATCACGGCAGATGTAAGTGTTTTGCACACACCGCCGACTTATACCAGTAAGAAAAACAGCATCTATGTAAGTGCAGGTACGCATTTAGTCCAGCCGTCCAAACTTGTTAGTAGCCTTTCTCAGAGCGTAGAAGGCTCTGGAAGGCTCTGGAACTGCTACAGTTGGGGTCGGTGCCACTTATTCCATGGGACTGCCTGAGGCCTGGACTAACAGTAAGAAAGAGACGGCTGCAGCAGTGACAGTGTCCTTGGGAACCTCAGTTTCCTCCTTTGTAAAGGAGGAAATGTTTATGTTAGTGACTTTCGCTTAGTGACGTGAGTGAAGATCAGAAGGCTCTGGGCCTGGCACACAGGGCCTCGGTCGGCTCTGGCCGCCACCAGAAGGCCGGGCTGGGGGCCCAGCACGGGAACCTGCAGTCACGGTTCTGGGGGCTGGACGTCCACGCTCGGGGGCCGGTCCCAGTTTTCCTGGAGCCTTGCTGTGTCCTCAGGTGACATTTCCTCTGGGCCCACACGAGGGCTGCACCCATGAAAGAAACATGATTCGGACACTTGCTACAGACCGAAAGGCGGGCTTTCCTCAGGATGGTCACTTCGGCGTGGGGACACAGTGGGGGCCGGAGATCAGGCTCAGCTCCTAATACAACAAGGGCAGGTGGGAGCACAGCTGTGGAGCAGGTGGGGCAGGGACAGAATCGCCCAGGAAACGGCCGGCCGACGGGCTTCTGGGTCAACCGACCTAACAGGGGTCCTGCTGGAGGCAGGCGAGTGATGGGACTCACCTGAGGGGTGGATGAGGCTCCCGATCAACTGCTGGGGGGGAATCAGCTGTGGGGGTTCAGGGCACAGCGGGGCAGGGCAGTGCAGAAGTTGTGAAGAGGCCGCAGAGGCGCCTAGGATTTGGTCACAGAGAGACCCTGTCAGCCCTTGTGAACCCACCCTGTTTACGTCCCAAAGAGACTGTCCCCAGACGCCATCACCCTGGGCGAAGGGCTTCAGCTTGTGAGTGTGAGGGACATGGACGTTTAGTCCATGACAGTCAATAAATGTCCCGTGTTCATAGTGTTCATGTTAAGATTATCATTTTGTTACCGCAGTTGTTCTTTAGCTCAAAATTAAATTTCCGTTTTGGAGTTCTCTCCTCACGTGTGTCATAACGCTTTGTTCACAAGCCTGGGGCTTTGGTGAGCTTCCAGAGTATTTGGTCGCATCACACGCAGAGCAGTACGGCTGGGCTGGGGTGTCTGAACTGGGTCCCAGCCACCAGCTGAGCTGTTGTCTGATAAGAGCACAGAAATAAACAGCAACCATCCTCCTGAAGACAGAACTACAATTCCAGGGAGCCAGTGAGTTCATTAGTTCCTTTTAACGATCTAACAGATAACATTTCCCACATTGTAGTGTTCCACGGGGAACCCTAAAACAGAAGATGATGCCCTTTGTGGCACAGCCTGCATTCTATCAGTATGATAAGTAACGGTCCTTATCACAACAGCCACACTGGAGAGGGATGTTAGGGGGTGTCTGGGGCGGATGGCGAGGACACCTCAAAACCATGTTTGGAAAGAACTGTAAGACCATCTGTTCTTTCCAAACGTGAAGCGTTTGGTTTGAACCATGTGGTGTGTGTGTGTCACTGAGTTCCTAGCAGACTGTGGCGCTCAGGGCACTGAGGCCCCAGGGGCCCTGCCTCGGCCGTCCCGGCCCCTCGTCAGCCATTGTGCTCTGCACGGGAAGGTTATCGCCGCTTTCCACCACATTCGAAGTAGCAAACGATTAATAAGTTTCTGTTAGCTCTCTTTAGAATCATGTTTCTCAGGTTTGATGTGCCCACAGGTCCCCTGGGAGCCAGAATGCAGGGAAGGCCTGGACACTGCACCTCTAACCGGCTGCCGGCCTGCCATGCTGGGGTCTGCAGACTGCGCTCTGAGGAGCGCTACCCATGGAACTTGCTTTCTGTGACAGTGGATGTGCTGTGCTGCCTGAGACGTGGCTGCCAGCCACGTATGACTCTTAAGTCCTGAAATGGAGTTAGTGTGTCTGAGGCATGGGGTTCTCAGCTGTATTACTGAGTGCCAGTTTAAAAAGCCACATGTGGCCAGTGTCACCCCCTGGGACAGCACAGCTGGAGGGTCCGTGAGCACAATGTCACCTGCAGCTCTGCTGCCAGTGTCCTCACCGTCGGAGCACTCCCAGGCTGTCCTGTGCATTTGAGGATGGTAACGACACCGCTAGTCTACACGCTCCAAGCGGGCTGGCGGCTGCCACCTGGCCACCTCTTCTCTGTCAGCTCCCGCCCCACGTGACCTGTGACATAGCGTCCCTCGGCCTGGAGCACACGCCCCTTCTCTCCTCTTCTGGAGTTAATTTTTACTCAGTTTGGGTGTCAGTTCAGAGATACTCTCCTTGAAATGCATTGCGGGGCCAGGCGGCCACGTTTCTGAACATCTCTGCTCGCAGCCTTTGTCCTTCTGGGACCCCGCGACCGTTCCTGTGACACTAACGAGTGCCCAGCTCCTCACTAGGCTGCCACCCCGCCCCCCCCGGGCAGGGCTGGTGCCTCATTACATTCCCAGAAATCAGCACAGAACACAGCACACAGTAGGCGCTGAACAGCCCAGGCTGAATAGTAGCATCGAGTACGCATATGTCAGTGCACCTACACAGGAGACGCGGGAGCTTAACATGCAAGTTCCTCCCAGTCCAGTGGCCAGCTCGGGCAGGGGGTGCAGAGCGGTCCTCGTGTTTAAGAGGCGCTCCAGCTGCTTCTGACGCAGACGTCTGAGTTGGGGTTTGAGAAATCGTGTCCTGGGTGGTCCTAGAGGACGGCCGGTTCAATGCACCTGGAAGCAGTGACAGGAGTTTGGTCCCTCCCTTCCCGGGTTAAAGGAGAAGCTATTCTCCCCCCCACACACACCCCACCCCGTGCGATTCACAGATGGGCCAGCGAAGCCCAGCGGAGCCCAGCTGGGAAGGTGCTTGCTGAATACACACGTGGAGTGACCGGGCACCGCCAGGCAACTTGATCCCAACACATAAATCTCATGAAAGCATAGTCTGTGTGGAGCGGGAAAGGGGCGGGGCCCCGGTGAGCTCAGTGAACTGTCGTGCACTTGCTGGAAAATTCCGACCATTGATTGTATACCAACAAGCTGGGCGTAGCTTTTCCGTCGCCTGACCTGCTGCAGGTAAGGAGACACCCTGGTCAGCAACATCATCTGCTTTGCGGATGCGAACCGTTCCCGGCGGCCCCGACACAGCGGCCGGCCTGGAGGCAGGCGGGGTGAGGAGCGCACGCTTGCCCATTCTGCCCTCCTGCCAGCTCTCCCCCGAGAAGCAACGGCGCCGTCTTAGAAGAGGAAGAAGGATTCGCTTTTTCTCAGAAGGAGGCTGGACGGTGAGAGGCCCTGGGTGCTGCCGACGGTGCTTCTTTCCGTGGGTCGTCCAGCTCAGCTCACGCCGTCGCCACAAGCATGGCACCACGGCCCTTACCAGCCGGGAGGTGGCCTCGGGTTTCTCATCTGCAAGGTGGGGCACATTGTCGCAATAGCACCTGTTTCATGGGCAGTGACCGGGAGCAAGCGAGTAAGACATCTAAGCTTCAGACAGTGACGGCTCCGAGGCGCTGTGTTCGTGTTCGTGTTATCGTTTCTGAGTGCGTTTCTGTGTGAGGGGCTCGTCGCAGCGAAAGCCTTTACCTCTCAGACGCGTGGTACAGTGAGGGGGGACAAGACAGCCCACAATAAACACAACACGACAGCAATTTATAATAACAACACGCAGCAGTCAGGAAGTAATACAGTGTGCTGTGAAATAACAAATGGACTGTGGAGGAGAAAAAGCTTAATAAAAGAGCTGACTCGGGGCGCAGCGCTGGGAAGGAGGAGAGATGCATGAGATGGATGCGTTTAATTCTCACACACGCCTCGGCCTACTTACCGGGACTCCCAAGGCTCCGAGGGCCGCAGCTGCTGCCCCTGGCCGCACGGCCAGTGTGCGGAGCTCGACTCCCGAGGCCATGGTCACAGCCACCTGGCGAGACCCGGTGAGTCACAGAGACACGCCGTTTGGGGGAGGTGGGGCCATGAGCCGTGCACACCGGGAGGGTGGCATTCGAGGCCCAGGGACAGTGAGGACAAAGGCATCGAGGCGTCACCACCGGAGCCTGTCGGAGGAGGAGCAACAAGTCTGCTGTGACCAGAGCCACGTTCAGGAGCAGGTGCTCGGCTCACACGGAGTGACAAGCGGTTCAGGGAGCCCGTGGGGCCACGGTGCAGTGGCGTGGGAGCATAGGAAAACGTTCACATACAATAAGTGAGGAAACCCACCAGACAAAAACCAAGGCACACACTCACGTAAACGGCGTGATTCTAGAAAGCGATGCCTGGAGAGCGAGAAACAGCAGCTAACAGTAATAAATACCTTCTGTTTGGAACATTGCTGGCTCTCATTCCGCTTCGTACCTTTTGGGAATTCCCAAATTATATAAAACGAGCGTATATCAGATTTGTAGGCAGAGAAATAGAATATTGTTTTCTAAACTACAGGCGTAGCTAAGCAACGCGAAGTGAAATATTAACATCTGATAATAGAATTATCAAACCCTTCAGGGCCTCAGGCAGCCCGTGCACACTGCCGACGGCCACCAGGGAGAACGTGTCACCCGACCCAGGCAACCCGAGAACCTGACAGGAAGGGCCGCCCTCACGCAGTTACGGGACAGGGTCTTCACCTCATGACCAGGGAACAGAGATTTCCCCAGGCCCGACTTCAGGACAGACGCAACTTATTCCTTCTGGCCTCAGAGCTTTTTCTGTGTCTTCTTGTAAATCTGGGGTTAAACTTGTTCATTTTAAGTTTAGTAGAGTTTTAGATAGTCTCTTATGTTTTATGTGAAGTTGGGAAGATTACAAATTTGGTCTAAATTGATAAAATATTTTGTCCTGTAGGAAGAACGTTATAATTCTATTATACCTTTGATATGTTAATGTCATGTTGGGATTTGGATAAACTATAATTATGTTATAATGATACTCACTTTTACAAGAAAATGGTATGAATAGAAGGAAATTTTGAATAGGCATGCATTTTGTATATGCTTTCATAATTCTTCTCTTTCTGCAGTGAATTCTATCCATGTTGCAGAAAGGCTGAGTATTTCAGTTCAAATAAAGGGAAATTGTGTTTAGAAAGAATATTTTCTCTATATCCCATCCTTTAAATTGATACCAGAGATGCTGTGTCCATTAGAAATTTCTCTGGCGTCAGTGGCCCATAACTCAATGCAAATTACATTAAAGAATGAGAGGAAATTATCAATGTGTGAAGAAAAAACCCAGAGCTAGAATCACCTGCAGGATGTGTTTCTTTCTGCCTCTTCACTCGACTTCCGTCTTTGCTGGCTGCAGCCTCGCGGCTCCCGACGTCTCCTTGTTTCGGGAAGATGACTGGGAGCCTGACCTCCCCCTCGTCTGGGAAAGGACTTGCAAGCGACAGTTGTTTCCTGGTCACTCTTCTGATTCATCCTGATTGGTTCCCCGAAAATCATGTGTCCATAATGGAATCAAATCACAGTGACAAAAAGTGACAAGATGGCTCACTGCAGCCTTTCCCCCCTAAACGTATGGAGTCGGGGGGCGGGGGATTGCTGGGGGGGGGTTAAACATCAAACGTGCACAGCGTAAACACTGTTAGGAGAGCCTTTGTACGTGTAACAGTTTTTGCTGCCTAACAGGCAACCTCAAAAATCTCATTGTCTTCCAAGAGCAAGTGTGCCTCTTGCTCTCGAGCCTGTGGGTCAGCTCTCGGTAGTCAGCAGCCACGCGAGGCATGGCGCTCCCACGGCAAGTGGCATGAGAGCAAAGAAAGGGGAGCAGGACGCGGAGTTCCTCTGAAGCCCTCAGCTTGTAGCTGGGACGCTGTCGCTTTAGCCCATAGTCGTTGGACAGAGCCAGTCATGTGGCTGATGAGTGAGGAAACAGACCTTCACACGTCATGGGAGGGGATGAGCCGTGTGACAATGGGCATAGCACCTGCCATTCTAATTATAGGACAGGAGTCAAGAATTGAGAGCCATGGGCCAGTTCCACAGAGGACGCCCTGCTGCTCACCTGATGACTGTCAGCTGTGAGAAGATTGATCCCCAGATCAAGCCTGGGTTTATTATAAAGACCCACGAAGGTACAGTCCATTGCCATTATGTCTTTGTTCAAATTAAATGGCATACTGATATCTGCATGTAATTTGTTGTGTGATAATAGGTAAGTACGCAATGCAATAACAAATTTGATTCATGTTTAAAATTATTGCTGGTATTTTCCATGTTACAGATTTTGAGGACCAAACTCTGTTGAAATCTTTATAGTTCTAGAAGAAATCTGATGTGAATTTCCAGTTTCCAGATGAGGTTTTTATATTCCCTTTGATTTATTCCCTTGCAGTATATTGTCTGAAACCCACCACGGGAAGTTAGGTCAGATCATTAATTCTGAGGATGCTGGGGTTTGATTGGTTGGTGTCATAACTTTCATATGCGCTAAGTATACTTTTATGCAGTGATTTGGTAAATCATCTCAGTGGATCAGGGCCAACTGCTCACCTTTGTTCTGCCTGATGGATAATACAGTAGATTCTGGTGAGCTGATAATTAGGCATCAGCTCTGCAGCTGTGGCTTCTCCGGCCAGAGCTTTCTCAGTTACACGTGCCTCTCTCCTCACGGGGAACTTGGCACCACGCGGCACATAGGTCTCTGCTAGGCTGTTGCGTGCACTCCCAGCCTCTGGTCCAGGGGTGCGTGTGCACGGTTAGTCATGCACGCATCATGCCATCTTTCAGCTGGAGGCCGATATTTGTTAACAGGTGTCCATGGTGATGCTGATGTGAAGCGTTGTTTATATTCTTTCATCATCCCTGTGCAAGCCGTCCCTTCAGGCTGCCCCTCCAGCTGGGACAGCTTAAGTTTATGTTTCATGGCCGGGCAGGAGCGCTTGCCCGTGTGATCAGCATGCTTGGGGTGCTGGTGACGGTCGGTCGGCCTGGACTCTGGACATCCTGGGCCAGGAAATGCTTCCTTGAGGGCTTTGGTCTTGTGCATTGGGGGTGGGGGTGGGGTAGCAGTGTCCTGGCTTCCAGCCACAGATGCCACTATCACATCTCCACCAGCTTGAGGCAACCAAAGTTGTCCCCAGACATTTCCAAATGTCCCCGTAGGGGCAAGATTGCCCCCCGCCGAATCCTGCTGTTGTAAAGTGATTTCTAATAAATTGTGACGAGTGTTAGAGCCACCCTCTCTCTCCAACGTGCCAATCTTACCTGTAATTGATGGCCTGGAAACTGACAAAGGAATGGGGGAAGTGACGCTAGTATGCCTCATACACCGTACGCCTGTGCACTTGGGCAGTACTGAATGGCAGATTAGGAAAACGTGTTTGCAGCCTTGTATTCCGGGTTTTCATGTAGAGCTTTCTGGGATAGTGAGGCTCCGGTCTGCCAGCTCCCTTTCCCTTTCATTAGAAATGCACCCCCCCCTTCACTGCTTTTGCGTTATTATTGTTCCCTTAATGGTTATTAATTTGAAAGATTGCATTTATCCATTTTCTTTGCTGTGCAAAATACTTTAGGACAGATGCTGTTCTACGTGAACTCTATTATGTCTAGGAAAACTTGCTCTGAGTCGGCAGTTTCTGTGAGTTCGGAGGCTCTGGGGAGCAAGACGCCTACATTTGGGGGAAAATAATTTGGGGTTAATTAAACTTAGTTATTAAATGATCTCACCCTAGTGTGCCTGTTGGCACTGAGAACAGACGACGTTTCAAGATGGCGTTTTCTGCAGGAATACTTTGCCTTGTACGTTCACTGTGGAATCTGAAAGGATTTGGTGAGGCTTTCATTCTGGGCTCTCAGACATAAACTCTAGGGAAAATATGCTGTGGTGAGAGAACATGGGTTTTGGCTGACGGACTGGATTCCCGTTGTGACCCGACCTACTCGTTGGTGACGTTGGCTCACTTGCTTAGGGTCCCTGAATCCATCCCCTCGCCTGTGCGTGGAGGCGGGAAGATGAACACATCCTGAAGGGGCTGGCGGCACTGGCTCGGCATTTCCTCTGCTTCCATGCTCTACACTTAGCCCAGCCGTCCCCTGGGAACTGCTCTCGGAGGCCCCAGCAACCTACTCACTGATACGAGAGGTAATCAAACCATATGGTGAATGTTTAAATAAAAAAGTCTACTACAGTAAAAGACA